AGATAGTATCTCTGGCTCAGGTTCCCTAGTCAAAAGTCTTCTTTGATAGTATATCAGCTCACTTTTGATACTTGAAGTAATATATTGCTATTAATGATATTCGTTCTGTTCAATTGTGTCCAATACTTGCAGACTGTTTGGACAAGTCCCTGCAGTTTTCTTGCCAAGGTTTTTCATTTACAATTGTCTCCTTCCTGGGGCTGAGGGAAAGTGACTGGCTCCAGGTTACCCAGCTAGCTTTGTGCTTAAAGTGGGACTAGATCTCATAGTCCCCTGGTTTCTAGTTAATGCCATAGCCTTTTCCTTCATGAGTTTATCTAATTTCTTTATGGCTGTCCAGGTTGGCATATCCCATTACGTCTTGTACCATGTTTTCCCGAAAATAAGACAGTCTTATATTTTTTTTGAACCCCAAAATAAGTACTTGGCCTTATTTTCGGAAAGGTCTTATTATTTTGGGGCAAGGTGGAGCAAGATGGGGCTCCTGTTGTCATCTTACATGATTTCCAGCTCTGCGTTTAAATATTTTTGGGGAGGGCTTATTTTAGCGCATGCATTCAAAAGCCCGATTGGGCTTATTATCAGGGGATGTCTTATTTTCAGGGAAACAGGGTAATAACAAATTCCACAGGATAACTGTTCACAGTATGAAGGCTTGTTTCCTTTCTTTGTTAAGTCTTTCATTTTTCAGTTTCATTTGAATATTATGAAAGAAATGTGTTTTTCACTAATCTTTACTCAACATTTTTCAGAATTATGTCCAATTGTACACTCATCTTTACAGTTCACATACAGGTAGTCCTCAACCTACAACCACAATTTAGTCCCAAAATAATGTTATTAAGTGAGAAATCTGTTAAGTGACTTTTGCCCCTTATGACTTTATTTGCCATATTTCTTAAGTGAATCACTGCAGTTATTAAATTAGTAACATGCCTGTTAAGTGAATCTGGTTTCCTCATTGACTTTGCTTGTCAGAAGGTCATGTGGCGACCATGTGGCCCCAGGACACTGCAATCGTCATAAATGTGAGTCAGCTGTCAAGCATCTGAACGTAAATCATGTGACCATGGGGATGCTACAATGGTCGTAAGTGTGAAAAATGGTAATAAGACACGTTTTTCAGTGATGTTTAACTTCGAACAGTCAGTAAATGAACTGTTGTAAATTGAGGACTGTCAGGGCGTTGATTAATCCCATTCTGCTTTTGGGATAATCGCACCTGATTACGAGGAGTGGATCGAGACTTTTCCTTGCAAATATACTTTAAGAAAACAAATATACTTTAAGAAAACAAAACCCGAAGATATTTCTTCTATAATATTTCTATCAGACTTTCCATAGCGTGCCAAGGACTACCTGTAGTTTCCAATGAAGATTTAAAGCTCATTGTGTTCTGCCATTTTTTTTTGCTCAAATTGCAATAATACTTCCAAATTATATCCACTCAGAGGTGGGATTCACTTACCTTCCCTACCGGTTCGCAAATGTGAGCGTGTGTGCAGTTGCGCGCGCATTACATCCAGGCAGGTGGGCGGAGCCTCCCGCAGTCACCACTACCGGTTTGCCCAAACCAGACAGAACCAGCTGAATCCCACCACTGTATCCACTGCAGTATTTCTGTCATGGGATTGAGGAAAATTTTAGAGTAGAGGATGGGTTATGACTTTGCTAACATATAAATGTTTGATCAGTTTAATTCTACAACAAGGTTATCCATATGAGTAAGCCTGCTACTTACTACTGTATATTCCTAGATCCTTTCGAATGTGCCAGGATAGAAAAAGATCTAACAGGAGAGAATATATGTATCTGAGGGTTGAACTATGGAGTCCTTGGTGCTCTCTGAGCTTCGGTTCTTAGTCTCTCTTCTGGAGGCACAATTCCCCTCCTTTGGTGGATGGGTCTGGAGGAACATCTCATTGGAATACTGTATTGTTTGAATATTTTGTTAAAAGCAGAGAACTATAGCAATTTCATAAAACTTTTAATTTGCTTATTTGTTTCCTACAAAGGCTCCTTGATCTAGTTCAGAAATGTTAGCAGCACTTAATGCTGCAGTCTCAAAACAATTAGTGTAAATATAGGTAGTCCTGAACTTACGACCACAATTGAGCCAAAGATCTCTGTTGCTAAGTGACACTTTTGTTAAGTGAGTTTTGCCCCATTTTACGATCTTTCTTGCCACAGTTTTAAGCGAATCACTGCAGTTGCTAAGTTAGTAACAGGTTAAGTGACTCTGGCTTCCCCATAAACTTTACTTGTCGTAAGGTCGCAAAATGTGATCACATGACCCTGGGACACTGCAAGGCATAAATATGAATCTGTTGTCAAGTATCTTAATTTTGAACACGTGACCATGGGATGCTGCAACGGTTATAAGTGTGAAAACCGGACCAAAGTATTTCTTTTTCAGTGCTGTTGTAACTTCAACAGTCACTAAATAAACTGTTGTAAGTTGAGGACTATCTGCACAGTGCTATCAAGTTTAGTGGGACTTATTTCTTAATGAATACATCAAGAATTGACTTGTGACCATGGGCAAGATTTGTAGTTTTCCACTGCTGCTGCTGTTAGATCTAGCTTTTTGATTTGTGACTTCCATCTTAAATGAGAATTTTAAAATCCCCTCTGTGCAATATTCCTTTATACCTTTATTTCAATTTGTTCTATTTATTTTGCCATTATTTCTGATGAATCACAATCTACCTGTCTTGCACTGCTAGGCTAAAATGTGGTTAGTCTTCAGTTAGTCTTCAGTCTCTTTAGTGGGGTTCTTGCACAGGACTTCAGTTTTGGAGAAAAGGATAGGAAGTTAGATCTTACACACGATGAAACCAGAGTTTTTAAAAGAAACTTTGGACAGATGAACAACAATCGGTGCGAGGAAACTTATTTATTATTTATTAATTAATTCAATTTGTATGCCGCCCCTCTCCGAAGACTCAGGGCGGCTCATAAAAAGCAGGCGAATTTTCTTTCTTTCTTTCTTTCTTTCTTTTTTTTTTTTTCATTTCGTGAGGATTTGGTCATCGGTTTTTTTAATCTGCAAATCCGCCCCTGCGCAAATCGTTCTCGAAAAGCAAGCGGCGGAGGAGGTCCACTCGTACCTCCGTGCGGGTTTCAAATGCAAACTTTTTGTTTCATTCGAAAGTTTTTCAGGCGTGCAACTCGCACCTCCTTCTCCAGGACTTGTAGCTTCTGTTTTTGTTTCTGCCTTGCCGAGTCCCACCTTCCGCCTGCGCCCCCTCCCCCGCCTTCCCGATCATCTTGGGGAGGGGGAGGAGACCCGCGCCCTCCTTCAACGGGCTGCCCCCGCGCTGCACTCTGGATGCGCGGAGCCGAGCAGCCACTGGAAGAGGAGAGCTGACGTCAGGCCGAGAGGTAGTTTCCAGGCTGAGCTGTCAGACCGTATAGCAGGTTAGGTATTAAAGGCACATCTAACAAGCCCCGAGACCCCTCCTCTCGAACGGCCTGCGCGAACACAAAGAAGTCCCATCTTCTCGGCCGGCCAGGATCCAGCAGCATCAGCAACTAGTGCTCGCCTCGGCCGAGGCTTTGGAGACAAACACTGCCGGGAGCGCGGCCAGGAGGGGACAGGGGGGCGGCGGGAGTGGGAAGCGGCGCAAGACAGAAAATGAAACCGTCGAGGAAAAGTAAGTGGCCGGGAGGGAAGTTTCGTTGGGGGGGGGAGGGCGTTTAAGCGCTCTCTCTTCCCTCCTTTGACTGGATGAAACCCAATTTTGGTTTGGATCGCCGAAGCGAGGGCAGGGACCGCTTTGCAAGCTTGAAAGAGAGCCGGGGCGGGGGGGGGGTGGGGGAGCGTGCAAGCCCGCTTCTGTTTTGTCAAAAGCACGCGGGGAGAAGTTTCGCGTGCGTGTGGGCGTAGAGAATGGAGCACCTCCCGGAGGGACCGTGTGTGTGCGTGTGTGTTTTTGTGTGCGCTACCGTCTCCGCCGCTTTGCAAAAAGCTGCTCAACTTTGTCAAAAGTGGCGCTGGATAAGAAGCAGAGATTGAAAAGCACGAGGGAGGAGGAGGAGGAGGGCGACGGAAAAATGCCTTCCAAGCACTCAACTGTGCCGGGGGGCGAGGGAGCGAGGAAGGGACTCTTTTGTTCGGTCCCGTTTAGTCCAACGGGGGAAGGAGAAAAAGCCCAAAAGCGGATCCAACTTTCTCCACGCAGAAACAAAAAAGGCAAGACTCTAGACCACCGGAACCTCAAGGCTTGCTTTAAAAATAACTTTCGGAGGTTCTTTTTCGCGTCCTTTTTTTTTTTTACATGTTTTTTCTTTTCTCCCCAATCCCAAAATGGCAACTTTCCCAATTTTCTCTTTGGCAAACTCCTCCTCCTCTCCCCCCCCCAGTCGTATTTTGCTCCCTCCCAAACACGAGTTTGGGGATATAATTTTATTTTCCAGAAAATTTTGTTTCTCCGCCCCCTCCCAATTCCCCCTTGATTTGTCCAGCTTGTTAGAATGACAGCTGGGGAGGGGAGATGCGTTCGGTGTTAAAACCGGGGTAACGCGTGCGGGGTGGGGTGGGGGCGGAGGAGGGGGTGCAAGTTCCTGTTTCTTTTGGAACAAAGAGAACTCTGTCTCGGCATCTGTCACTCAGGGCAAGAGACACCGAAGTAAACTTTTTTTGTATGCGCCTCAGTCCGCTCTTCGCTCGCTTCCAGTACTCGGGGGCCCGGGAACCCCTTTTCATCTGGGAGGGGAAGGTCTCGGCTCCCTCCCCCCCCGCCTTGCCCCTCGGTTCCTCCATGGAAGGGCTTCGGAGGAGGAGGAGGAGGAGAGTTGGGGGTAAGAGCGGCGATGTAACAGGCAGCAAACATGGAGTCCCGGTTTTGTGCGTGCGTGGAGAGACGGGTAGGGATTTAAAGAAAGGGATGGGGAGGGGAGGGGAGGTGGGAGGGCTGAGCCGAGGTTATCTTTGCATTCCACTTTACTTTTCTTTGACCCTTTTGGAAACTCCTGCGCTTAATCCTTGCTCGAGCCACTGCCGCTGCGCGGAATCCGGGGAGCTCAATCGCCTTTGCAAAAAGAAAAAGGAAAAAAAAGAAGCGTGCGCGCTTCTGGAGCTCTGTAGCAAACTTCTGACATCTTGAATTCAAACGGAAGGGGAAAAAAATGTTATCGGGCTCACCTCCCCCCACCTCTTTCCTTCCCTTTCTTTCCCCCCCCCCGCCCCCTCCTCTCCCAGTTCCTTTCCGCCCCTCGTCGGGCTGGTTTCAATGGCATTCCCTTTGTGTAGGAATGGGCACGGCGGCGGCTGCCGCTTGTTGCCGTTTCAACTTCCTTTCTGCTGGCTTTTGGTATTGGTGGGTTGTCCTGGTTTGTTTTGTTTTTGGTTAAAAGTAGGCGGTTTGGCGGAAATATAAGCCGAGCAACCAAAAAAAAACACACCACAAAACAAAACAAAAAAACGGCTTTCGACCCTACTCTCCTCTGTTCTTCCTGTATTGTTTGCATTTTTAATGGTCCCCCCCCCCCCCTCCCCCCCCCCTTCCCTGTGGGTTGGATTGTGCCGTTCCCATGTGCAGCTGCTGGTGGGTAGCTCACGGCTAGGAGGAAACGGCAGCGAAAAAAAAAAAGAAAAGGCACCTCCTCCTCCATCCCTGATGAGTTACAGACTTAAAACAGAAGGGAGAATGCCTCCCTCACGTACCCAGCCACTCCTCTAAGCCCCGTGGCGCTCGGTTGCCTGCAGGAATCGGACGAGGATCCATTTGCTTTTTTAATTAGGCACAAAGTCTTGCCATTTTCTCTGGGGGGGGGGAGCGGGAGGAGAGAAAGAGCGAGAAGGAATCGGGTTTGCATTTCAATGGACTTGAATTTGCCTGCTGTTTCTATGCCCTCTTTCTGGGGGTGGATCCCCCCCGACAACGTGTTGATCTTTGAATGCCTTGCTCCAAACATATTCGACCACATGTCTGGAAAAGGGCAGTAAGAAGCCAGCCTTGAGCAAACTGAAAGTCGATTGTTTCTGTGGACCATTTCTCCCCCCCTGTATAGGTTCTTTCTGTCCTTCCCTCCCTTTTTTCCCCTTCCCTCCCTTTCCCCCTCTCTTTTTGAAGTGGTAGAAAATGTTGGTAAATGTAACAATCTGTACTTAAGGGAAGCAACTTGTAAGAACAATGTGTTCAGCCTTCAACATCCTCCAAAAAAGCAATGTGCCCTTTAATAGCTTAATATTTGGGTGATGGTTTCATGACGGTTCAACAAGCACTAAAAACTCAAGTGGGGCTGTTTGTCTTTCTTTAAAATGTTTTAATGAATGCATTTTAGTTCTGTATAGCAACTCCAGGGATAAATACACACAGGTGAGTGCGGAGAAAACTCCTGGGGGTGGGGGGGATAAATGCTCCTTCCTCAAGACTGTGCCATAAAGGGACCAGTCATTGCACTGGATGGTTAGCTGTGTCAAAAGTTGTAAAAGAAATGGGCAATATTTTGGGGGAAAAAATTACTATAGAGCTTTTAATTTCTAAGCAAACAAATTGCTGCTACTGCTGCCGCCTCTTTAAGGGTGTTATGTATTACAAGGAAGGTGAGATTTTAGTATTTCAAAACTGAGGAACACAAAGCATTCTGTGTGTTTGATAGAGAGAGACCGGATAGATGTAGTTATGATATGCCTAATGATTCCTTGACATCATTGTTATGAGATTTTATATCCTACCCTGTTTTCCCCAAAATAATAAGACATCCCCTGATAATAAACTCAATCTGGCTTTTGAGTGCACGGCAATAAGGCCAAGTGCTTATTTCAGGGTTCAAAAAAATATAAGACAGGGTCTTATTTTTGGGAAAACATGGTATTATATCAGAACACATGGCTGTCCAAAAAAGCATGAAATTAAGACACCCTCTCCCCTTTTGCTCCCTAGTTCTGCAGAAACTGGTCACACAAATAGTTGCATTTAACATAACAATTCTGATACTTTCAGGTTTGAACCAAGACAGATCTGCCAACAGTTCCACAATGTCCGACAGTGACTTTGGGGAAGATGATGGGAGCATTTCTCAGGACCCATCCCAGCCTGGCAAGAGGAAACGAAGGGGCAATCTCCCCAAAGAGTCTGTCAAGATTCTGAGGGAATGGCTGTATGAACATCGGTTCAATGCATACCCTTCAGAGCAAGAGAAACTCAGCCTTTCAGGACAAACAAGCCTCTCTGTTCTACAAGTAAGAAACTTCGTGTACGCTTTCCCAGAAGGTGGCTCTGAAATTAAGGGGGGAGGGATGGATGGTGGGGACAAGGAGAAAGATGGCAAAATGAAAAAGCTGTTAAATAAGAGCAGGGTTTTATGCTTTCCAATCCTTGACACATACTAGTTGGCCTTTATTTACGTTTTGCACTAAAAATTAAACTTCAGAATTTCCATTCAATTTTTTTTGCCCTGCTTTGTTCCTTAAAAGAAAGTTCATGGCTTCTTATTATTGACATTGGATCTGAAAAACTCCTACATTTTGTGTGTTCTGAGGGACAAAAGTAATATTTTTCTGCCTCTGTAATGTTTACTATGTCCTGAAATGTGTTCTTTGTCTGGCTTGATCTTTCCTAATTAAAACAGAAGGGAACTTGTTTAGGATATAAATGTTAGAAGGGAAGCAAGTGTTATACTAGTTGTGCTTAGGTCTAATACTTAATAGTTACCTTATTGAATTGACTAGTTTGTTGTCCAAAAGAAATCTAAGGGTGGTGTTGGTAATGAATTTATGATGTGGATGATAGAATGTCTAAGATTCATTAGCAACCCTGTGCTAAGGTCATAATGACTGGTGGAATTAACTCCTATCCCTATGCTTGTAGTACTTTAGTTGTGATGGGAAACTAATATAGAGTGTGGTTGAATATTCAGTGATATTTCCAAATATAGCTTTTACTGCCAAACTATTCAGTGACTCATTAAATCATCAAACATCTGAGGCCCAATTTTCCATGAGGTGGGATATTTCAAGCACATATCTAGATCTAGTATATAAGATGTGTCTATTCTTTAACCCTGGTTAGGATTTCAGTGGCACTATCACAGATCCTTAGGACTAGGAGATGTCAAAGTGCTGTAGGGCAGAAATATAAGCATTGATTGGCCTGTCTTTGCAGAACCAGAGACATTATTAAATTGTCTTGTTAATGTTGCTTTTAAAAATGTCTTCTTATGATCTTTGTGGATGCAAAGTAGTGGGAAGAAGTAGCTGTCCGATGGGATTTTTTTTGACCAGCAAATAATTACAAGAAATGTCTGGAACTAGATAAGTAGATTTTATTTTATGCCTAACTACAGGTAGTCCTCAATTTACAACCACAATTGAGTCCAACATTTCTGTTGCTGAGTGAGAAATTTGTTAAGTAAGTCCCATTTTACGACTTTTCTTGCCACATTTGCTAAGTGAATCACTTCAGTTCTTAAATTAGTAACAGTGTTAAGTGAATCTGATTTCCCCATTGATTTTGCTAGTCAGATTGCAAAAGGTGATCACATGACTGCAGGACACTGCGATATAAATGTGAGTCAGTTGTCAAGGATCTGAATGTAAATCAATTGATCATGGGGATGCTGCAATAGTCATAAGTGTGAAAAATGGTCATAACTCACTTTTTTCAGTGCCATTGTATCATCAAATGGTCACTAAATGAACTGTTGTAAGTTGAGCACTACCTGTATTTAAGGTGTGACTTAGCCATCCAAAGCCATATTAATTAAAGCTTTCAGTGTTGCAGTTTTGAAGGCAAAAAAGGTGCTATTGAGTATACAGGAGTGTGAATGTAGCACCTGCCTGCAACGTGTGTGGCAGCTGCAGAGATGTCTGCTTTAAGGAATTGTAGAAAAGTGCTGGTTGTGTTCACTTGCAAGTCTGAACCACAACGTTTTTTTCACATCTGAAGCACTGCTTTACTTTTTGTGTGCTTCCAAATCAATCTTTGCTGCTGGTGACTGCTTAGACAGATGCATGCAATTTTCTTGGGCAATATTTTTGGAAGCAGTTTATTATTACCTTCTTCCTAGGGCTGAGGGAGAGTGATTGGCCCAAAGTCAGCTGGGTTCATGATTAAAGCAAGCCTGTCACTCACAGTCTCCCAGTTTCTAGCCTAGGATCTTTAGTACCAGCCTGGCATTTAAGCCTTGGTATCAGGATATAGAATTCAATGAAATACAATGGCAGTCTTGCACTTTTAAATGGCTGGCGTTTTGCTTATCTTCTTCCTTTTCTCCTCTTTCAACTACATTGTGGCCTGAGATTTCAGGTAGCAGAATGTGACCGTAAATAAACTGTTGGCTGAGTTCTGGGAACCAGTGGGCCCAAAGATAATTCATTTTATTTCTCTGTGTCTGGTTACACAGGGGAGGAGATATGCAACTTTGAAATTAGGGGAGAATGCCAATATAGAAATCCAATGTAGATGCAAGCAATTTCAGCTGAAATACAGGCAGTGGTAGACGCTGAATATCTGAATTTAGCTACTTTTTTCCCTGAAAACTTCCCTCCTCCTTCTGCTTGTGACCTTACATTTTAGCAACTATGTGCTGATCTTCAGTCACTACAAAACAAACCTCAAAATAAGTGGACGTTTCTTGAATAAGGCCCTTTTGAGGCTATCCTAAGGTTGTTTTCAAAGAGTTGGCCAACTTCATAATAAACAGCAAATACTGTGGTGGTTTCAATCCAGTGATATGAGGATAAGAAGTCATGAGTTCTATCTTGTAGGATAGGTGGGAGCTGACAACATAATAAGTGCACAATTAAATTTTCTCTGCTGTGGTACAGCTTTTCAAAAACAAAGCTAAAGAAGTACATCTAAATTCTGAGCACAAGCCTTGCAAATTATTATAAAGGCAATTTTTTCAGATAACTGGACATTTTAATTTCTGGGTTTGCACTGTGGAAAGGATCTTGATGCCTTATGAATGAATATTAGTTTGATCCAACAAAGTAGAGATTGCCCCAAATTAATATTGCTGCCTAATGGTTATGTGGATGCACCCATGTAGATTTGTTGGCAACAGTGCAGAAGTAGTTTGTCATTGCCTTCTTCTGTTGGTTTTTTTTTAAAAAAAACATCTTAAGCTAGATCTGGAATTTTCAGATGGTCCTTGGTCTACTTTTGTGCTTGGTTGCTTTAGAATCCAATGTTGCTGCAGGAATAATTATTTTACTTATTTTTTATGCTCTAATTAAGCAATAGTTATATTTTCCACATTGGAATGGACAGTAGCACAGTTTTCTTTCTCCGATCAGATTCTAATGGTGTGGGAGAGCAGTTTTGTTGATGGAGGATGAAGAGGAAAATTTCTGCTCTTCCTTACCCCCGCTTCCAGTTAATGCGTGAGCTGCATTGGCTTCCAGTGGTCTTCCGGGTGCGCTTCAAGGTGTTGGTTACCACCTTTAAAGCGCTCCATGGCATAGGACCTGGGTATTTGCGGGACCGCCTTCTGCCGCCGATAGCCTCCCACCGACCAGTACGTTCCCACAGAGAGGGACTCCTCAGGGTGCCGTCGGCCAGGCAATGTCGGCTGGCGACCCCCAGGGGGAGGGCCTTCTCTGTGGCAGCCCCCGCCCTCTGGAACGATTTGCCCCCGGAGATAAGAAGGATATCGGATCTTCGGGTCTTTCACCGTGCCCTGAAAACTCTTTTCCAGCAAGCAGGGCTGGCGTGAACCCCGCCCCCTTTTTTAGTTTTTAATGGTTATTAATTGTTTAGTTTTAATTTGTTAATGGGTTTTAATTCGCACTGTTTTAATTCGGGCCAAAGTATATAATTCTTTTAATTAATTTTAAATTTTGTATTGTTATGTATTTTAGTTTTGGCTGTGCACCGCCCTGAGTCCACTAGGAGAAGGGCGGTATATAAATTGAATAAATAAAATAAATAAATAAATAAATAAATTTCTGTCACTAAACATTACAGATTTTGATAGTGTAGTGAGGATCGGGCAGGAGGGCCAGGAGTTACAATCCTATTAATGTGAGCAGATTTAGGATTCTTCAGCAGTGAATTCAGTCTTTGGTGCTCAATAAACATATTACCATTTTGAATTCCAGGTGAGATGGCAGAACTCTTAATTTGTACGTGCTTTTCTATTGTTAAGGGACCAACATGGCTAAAAGAGGAAATAAATTGAGCTAAAACCCTCAAACGAAAATGTTGCTGAGTAGAATGGTTCAGGCTCCTTTCTTGAAAAGGGAGAGAGTAGTAGGGGAAGCTATGAAACTCCTAAGGGAGTGCATTCCAAAGATTGGGAGTGTTAAAGTGGAAAGATTGCTCCTTCATGCCTCAAGAATAGCCTCTGAAATCTGGACAGATGCATAGCAAGATAGGAGAACCTGTCAGTTAGTCAGGCCCTAAACTGTGGAGACCGTCAGAGATTAAAATCAACATCTTCAATTGCGCCTTGAAAGCACGCATCAACCAGAGAGGTCTCCTTATAGGGTATAATGTGATCCCCAATTCATTTGATCTGTTGGCAGGTGTATTTTGTACCCACTGAAGTTTCTGGACACTTTTCAAGGTAACTCAGCACAGGCCCTGAGAATTATTTGATGGAGACACACAGATTAAAATGCTTCAGGCATAGATTGGTATATTACCAATATACCAAATTTAATTTCATTCTTTTGCAGTAAAACCTTTTTTTCCCCCACTGGAGAGAAACTGGCTAGATCGTGGCATTAGATCTAGCAGTTCTTAATAGGTTATTGCGGAAATCCAGTATTTTAATGCTTTTCTGTCAGTATTAGTCATATTATACAGGGTTATAGAAACTTGCAATTTATAAAATAAAGGGTGGCCTACTTTGTTCATGCTACAGATTTTTACGGTAGCTAAAATACTACGAAGAGCTCTAAAGGAGCTTTCCAGACTGGTGAAATACATATAAGCAAAGCAAATACAGTTCACAGGTAGCAGAGCTTTGCATTCTTTGATATATACAGATAGGATGTGAAATGGGCTACTTGACCAGAAAATATATGTAGTGGTTGTGGTAAGCATCTCCATAAAAATATCAGTCATGTAAAGGGAGGGAGGGAGGGAGGAAAGAAGGAAGGAAGGAAGGATTTTCTCCTGCAACATTAGCTTAGTTTATTTGTATTTCCTAAAAAACCTTAATTCTAATTCATGTGATATATTTCTGTTTGAGATGTCCAAATACACAGAGCCTTGTTCAACCAATAGTTGGTGG